TCTTTTTTTCCTACGCGTTTTTGCTTTATTATTATTATTATTAGAATTTCTTTATTCTTTACGTGTTATACATAAAATTACTCAAAATAAAATAAAAACATTAAAAAAAAAACACTATTTTGTATTTTAATTTATATTATTTTTCTCAAACTTTTCATCTATAAAAATTTCATAAATCCTAGCCAAAAGTTATTTTTTAAATTATATATTTTTATTAAATAATTATAATATGATATAAGTCCTAACTAATATAATATTATAATTTATAAAATTTGAATTAAATTATAAGAGTAAGGAATTGAAATTAAAATGATATTCAAGAACTATATTAATTATTATCTTTACATATTAATGTTTGAACCAACCTAATAAATACCATGTGGGGAGGTTTAGTAATCTATCAATTAATATATCCATAAACTATATATATCTATATATATATATATTTATTTATTTATTTTGGATAATTAAAAAATATTATTTCTAGAATTTTTCAACTGGACAATTAATTAATTGAATTGACTAATTTGTTTATGTAAGTGTACGATACCTTCCAAAAACGTAGGGCTAAAAATGGAAAGTTGTTGCAAATTTTAGTTTTGCAACCATTTTCCCATTTAATTTTACTTCTTTTTTGAGGTTGAAAAATAATCCCAATGTCAATGAAGTATCCAATAAAATATTTCATTTTTAAATATAATATAAAATATTTATTAGAATCCAAATTCGACAACTTAATTACAGATGTTCATATGACTTGAGGACCGGCTAATCGAGACTATCCAACCTAACACCATAAAGGTCGAGATGGGTTTGATTTTTTGAAAAAAAAAAAAGAATTTAGGTCGGTTCGCGGGTTAACGTTCTTTTTCGAATCGACCCAACCAACTCGAAAATAGGGTTACACAAAAATTAAAAATATTTGACGTTTATTACTGATGTTAGTGATACAATATGCGAATATTTGATATTTAAATTTTATGAGATTTTAGTTATTAATATAATATGTATAGTAGATAAATATTTTTTTTTACACGAATATATTATTTATATAATTTTTTTTAAATTGGAAAATAGTTTTACAAGCAAGTGATGTGACTAAATTTTCAGAATAGCATTAATATATATATATATATATATATATATATATAGGAAAAGCTTAATATGATGAGTAAGCGACACGTAGGATTCTACGTCAGCATAATTCGTCCCACTCGGCTTGCCTTTACTCTTCCACATGGCGTATGGGCCCAATTTTCTCTTGGAAGTAATCCACGTTGTCTTTGGACATTGTGGGGACCACATGTAATCACACGTAGTTTCAATTAATGGATGATTTGGGTTATATATAATTTTAAAACTCAATTATATGGTACTTTTTAAGATTATTATAAAAACTTAAAATATTTAATATTTGTAATATGCCAACAATAAATTACCGACGCGTGAATATTTGATATCTGAAATTTATGAAATATTAGTTACTAATTTAACGAGATAAATTTGATTTTTTTAAATAATAATAAAAAAAATAACAACCAACGGTACAATCCAACTCAACCTAGTTGCAAGCGTTGTTCGAGTCACCAATCCAAAATTTTGAGTAGGTCTAAAAGATTTTCTCGATTCAACTTAACCCGTGTTCACCCTAAATGAATTTCCTAACAAAAAAGCATAAAGAGAAAGAGAAGAGAAAGATGTTGGACAAGATCAACCGCCACCTATTATGAAAAATGTAGAATATCTAATTTCTCGTCTTACCTCTTTGAACCCAAAATTAACTTCCGTAGATTTTTTTTTTTTTTAGAGTATAATAGTTTTATTTATGTAATTTTGAGTTTGTTTTAAAATAAATCAAGTAAAAATAGTTTTAAATTTTATGTTTAAGTTGATATAACTTTTAAAATTTCAGTAAATTTAATTTTTTAAAAAATAAAAAAGTCAATATTTATACCATTTTTAATGTTTTTTTTAAATAAAAACATGAGCAAATATTGGTATATTTAATTTTGAAATAAATAATTATTTATTTCGAGATAAAATTATGGATACTTGAAGTGTGGAAAATGGAGCATTTATTATTATTCCATTTTTTGAATATACATTTTTTTTAATTCTAAAGTATTTGACTTTAATATCCTAAAAATATAATTAAAAAATGAAAATAGTTTAAATTCGTTTCTTCATCCTAAACAAAAATTGCTTCAAGAAGCCTTTTGAAAATGGGTAAAAGAATCGTTTCGACACTGCAAAGCAAAACGCAGCGTTTAACACTTTTCATATATTCATACTTGATTGTCGGGCACAGTGAAAGCAATCCTTTTTCTTTTTTATCTGTATTTAAATTCCATTTGTTAAGGTATTTATAAGAATCATTCTCCTTCCTTCCATTTGGCTCGTGGGTCCCACGTGATTAAAATCCACCTGGATATTTAAAATAATTAAATAATTTTTACTTGTAACTTAAGTTACCGATCTTATTAATACTATTTAATCGTAGAGAGGAAAATTCAATTACGTCTATCAAATAATACCAAATCCTTATGCTTCTCACGATACTTCAGAAGCTATGTATTCAAGCATTTGATCTAATGAAACGTCGTAATATGGAGTCTATAAAAACTGATGACATTAGCCATTGAAAATTGTAGAGCGGATTATTTTCATCTCATCTTTCACGATATACTATAGTTATTTATTTAATTTTTTTAGGAAAAACCTATTTTAATCGATAAGAATGAAAAAGCTTGTTCAATAGCTGACCGAACAATTACTCTAATTGAGTTTAGAACAATGGTGACGGTGAAATCAAGAAAAAAAAAATCTCGAATAGTTCATCATAGGGGTAAAATGGTCATTTTATAGAATATTTTCCGATAGATTTGGATAAAAATACTATTTTTGAGTTTTGACACTCTAATTTTGGTATTTGGAAATTCAAAGGTGTAATTTCCTTAGAATAGAGATTGAGCCATTTGGAGATGTTTTTAATATTCACATTATAAATTTGGAAATTAAAATAAAAATTTATATCCACGCTGTAAAAAGACCTCCGTAGCCCTGACGTGTTCAAGAAGTTGGTAGCAAAAAACGCGTCTATTATTTTTTCAATATACTATTTTTTTTTAAATAGAAAATAAAAAATTGGGCGCGTTGATAATAATGTGTACGCGGTGCACCACACTAACATGGGCCCTCCTCATCAGCGCCGACGATCCAGCCACAGGACCGCGTGGGACCCACTTCCAAACTGGCTGTCCTTTGTCGCTTTCTTACGTGGGGCGTTGGTATAATCCGACCTGGCACTGGTTTTCCACCGTCAGATCTACGTGGATTTCACGGAATCGTAAAGTGGATCAGCATTATTCCTGATGTGAACGCCCGTAGCAGATAGAAAGCGCGGTGACGATGTTTTGACTTTGTAATGAATGTAGGGTAGTTTGGGGATTTTAATTGTCTGATTACGTTTATTACATTGATTAAATTACCATATTCGATTTTTTTTTTAATATTTTTCTATATTTTTTAATTTATTTTTTGTTTACTTATTTTATTACTAAATTATAAAAAATGCCCGTAATTTTTATACTCCTCTCTAACTTTCAAACGTCTTAATAATAAGGATTGAAAATTGAGGGTAAAAAATGAAACAAATTTAAAAAGTTGGGGGCAAAAATGGTATTTACACCCATTTATTTATTTATTTGGACTTCAATTAGCTAGAGTAAGTCGTCTACCTTCCATAATTTCATAGCAATTATGGAAATGTTGGGCTTTATTTATTTATTTTGAATGAAGGGCAATTTGGTAAATTCAAAATAAAAATTAAAAAAAGGGACATGAACGGCATGAAATCTTTAGAAAAACACACAGTAGCCTCCCGTGAGCATCGGTAGTCGGGAAAAACAGTTTTGAATTAATTAATTAATATTATTTTTAAAATTTCTCTTTTATTATTTATTTTTTTAAATTTTAAAATTTCAAATCAATTCCTTAGCCAACGTGCCGCCCACCTCATTTTACTTCTCTATCTATACATACCAACAAATTTCCTCCACTCTTCAATTTATCACGAGAAATTGCTCGAACTTCTCGTGATATTGCCGGCCAGCATATCATTTGTTTTTCCGGTCAACTCAGCGCCGGCGGACGGCAGTGCCACCGCCACCACACCGACTCTCATTAATTAATAAAGTTAATATTTTATCGTTATGCTATGCAACTACTGGTTGAATTTTCAAAGATGACGTGGGCATTTTTGTAATTTCATACATGGTTTATTCCATGCGTTGGCTTGGAGAGTTGAAGAAAGAATAGGAATGAGAAAAGTATACAACTAAGAACGTATGGTATACCAATTCACATTAAAAATAAATAAAAAAAAATCATATTTTTTCATATTTACTCCATTTTATTTCATGACATTATTAATTTTTTAATATGAAAACAATATTGATTTAAAATTTTTTAAATATGAAAACAATATTGATTTATCATATTTACTCCATTTTATTTCATGACATTATTAATCTTTTTGGTTATATATATAAGAATCAGACCTCTATTATTAAGTTAAATAGTTTTTTAGTCAAATAATTTATTAAAATAATAAGGAGTTAGGATTGAAATGATTTTTTTATATGAAAAAATACAAAAAAAAAAACTATGAAGTTAGTCCATCAAATTTCGAATTTTATCGTTTAAACTTTTAATTTCATGTATAATAAAATTTTAGTAGAAATAACTATATATAATTTTATGTTTAATAAGATTTTAAATATTTAATTTTGTGTTGAATAGGTCACAAAATTAAATTTTTGAAGAGTAAAATAAAGAGGAAATTTGAAGGAATTTAAGCAAAAGAAATAAAAAAGAGAATAAATTCTAAGAAAGGAAAAAAGGAATAATTTTGAAAATAAATAAATGGAAAAAGAAAAAAGAAAAAAGAATCTGGTGGGGTTTGAGCTGTAATATAGCTGGCCCTTTTTTCACGTATTATTTCTCCCTCACACACACACACACACAAAGCTCTGAAATCCCTCTTTATCTTTCTCTCCCACATTTTGAAGCTCAGATCTCAAAGAAACAAGGGATTTCTGTATTTTCCTGCAAAAAAAATAAACCCAAAAGAAAAGGAAAATCCGCCATTGTTTTTGAGAAAGGGTTTAGCGAAGGAAGGAAGGAAGGAAGGAAGAAAGAAAGCTGAAGAAAGTGGGAATTTGTGGAATCAGATGTCTCTCATATGAGATGAAGACCCATTCCCATTTCAACATTCATCTTTTCTTCCAAATTTTCCTCTTCTTCGGCACTCTTTTCTGCCTCTCCTCTGCTGTTTCTGACGAGCTTCTTCAACTTTCCGGCCATGGCGGCCGAGGCCGCGGCCTCACCGACGCCGAAGCTCACTACATCCGTCAGCGCCAACTTCTTTCCGTCAGAGACGAATTTGGTGACCGTGGTGAAGAAGTCACCGTCGATCCCAAGCTTGTTTTTGAAAACGACAGACTCAGGAATGCTTACATAGCGTTACAAGCTTGGAAGCAAGCGATTCTCTCTGATCCTTTCAATCTCACTCAGAATTGGGTTGGATCTGATGTTTGTAGCTACAATGGGGTTTTCTGTGCTCCGGCGCCGGATAATTCCTCGATCCGTACGGTCGCCGGTATCGACCTCAACCATGGCGACATTGCCGGTTACTTACCGGAGGAGCTTGGTCTTCTTGTGGATCTTGCATTGTTCCATGTAAACTCGAATCGCTTCTGTGGGACTGTTCCTCACAAGTTCAAGAACTTGAAGCGGTTGTTTGAGTTGGATCTGAGCAACAATCGCTTCGCCGGAAAGTTCCCTCGGGTGGTTCTTGAGCTGCCGGAGCTGAAGTTTTTGGATCTGAGATTTAATGAGTTTGAAGGACCTGTCCCCAAGGAGCTTTTCGACAAGGATTTGGACGCCATTTTCATCAACCATAACAGATTCCGGTTTGACTTGCCGGAAAATTTCGGGAACTCGCCGGTTTCGGTTATTGTTCTTGCGAATAACAAATTTCATGGGTGTGTTCCGGGGAGCATTGGGAATATGACGAGATTGAATGAGATTATTCTGATGAATAATGGGTTTCGATCGTGTTTGCCGTCGGAGATTGAGTTTCTGAAGAATCTGACGGTGTTTGATGTGAGTTTTAATGAGTTTTTTGGGAGTTTGCCGGAGACGATCGGCGGAATGGTGAGTTTAGAGCAGCTGAATGTGGCGCATAATTTCTTGTCTGGGAAGATTCCGGAGAGTATCTGTAAATTGCCGAATCTGCAGAACTTTACTTACTCTTACAATTTCTTTACGGGAGAGGCGCCGTCGTGCTTGGCTTTGCCGGATTTTGATGACCGGAGGAACTGTCTACCTGACCGGCCGGTACAGCGGTCTGAGAGGCAATGTAAGTCGTTCTTGTCTAAGCCTGTGGATTGCAGTTCTTTTGGATGTCCTTCTTATGTTGCTCCCTCGCCACCTGTAACGGTGCCTTCTCCGCCACCTGTTGTTGTTCCGTCGCCGCCGCCACCTGTTCCCACTCCTTCGCCACCTACTTCCGAATCACATCCCATTTACCGACCACGCCCTCCGCCACCTCCATCCCCCTCTCCCCCTCCGCCGCCTGTTTACTCTCCCCCGCCGCCTCCACCATCCCCACCACCGCCCTCACCACCGCCCCCACCACCGCCAGTTTATTCTCCACCCCCACCTCCCCCGTCTCCCCCTCCGCCTT